CAGGCCTTTTTGTCCGCGCCTCCTGTTTTAACGGAGCAAGCAAGCGACGCGCGAAGGAGCGAGCGAGAGAGAGTCAGCGATGGGGAGCCTTGGGGCCGCGATCGACTCCAACCATCGGAGGCCGAGGTTCCTGTGCCTCCATGGCTTCCGCACCAGCGGCGCGATCATGCGGTCGCAGGTGGTGGGGAAGTGGCCGGAGGAGGTAATCGGTCGATTGGACCTCGTCTTCCCCGACGCACCCTTTCCCGCCGAGGGCAAGTCCGACGTCGAAGGCATATTCCCTCCTCCCTATTACGAGTGGTTCCAATTCGATAAAGTACTACTCCATTCCCCCTTCCCCAATTCTCAATTTCATTCCCTTACCTTTCGCCTAATTAATGTCTTTGATTTATTTAAATTCGTTGTGCACAAAAAATAGGATTTTTCGGAGTACAGGAACTTGGATAAATGCTTCGCCTACATCGAAGACCTCATGATCGAGCACGGACCGTTCGACGGCCTCATGGGCTTCTCTCAAGTAAAATCTCCTAATTCAATTCGATCCTTTATTCTTAGAGTATATACACGTATATATAGAGAAAGAATGAGAGTTGGATTGGACATATTTTAATCGAATAGTGGATTTGTGACGATTAGGGTGCGATTCTCTCGGCGGCACTCGTGGGTCTTCAAGCGAGGGTACGTTTTCAATATGAGAAATGCTTTTCCTATTCGTCGATTGCTTAATGAAAATGTTATACAAATTGTGTCTATTAAATTACCAAGAAAAATTGTTAGGAGCAATATATATAATCTCAGGCTCTTATAATTAATATATTGAATTTTAATGATTAACCGATAGGGGTCGGCCTTGACGAGGGTACCGAAGGTGAAGCATCTGATTATAATTGGAGGGGCGAAGTTCCAATCGCCGGCGGTGGCCGAGAAGGCGTATGCGTCTGCTGTCGATTGCACGTCGCTCCACTTTTTAGGTACAACTCTGGCCTCAACGACACTATCCGGGGTATTTGCAGCTTCCCCGTGTGAACTAGCTGCATTAGTAGTGTGAGCAGCAATGGACCCACGTGTGTGTCCCACGTGGTTTCCGTGTTTGTCTTCAACGAGCTGGTGGTCGGCAAGTGGGTAAGTCGTTGACCGTAGGAAAAAGGATACTTGTTTCGGCTGTCATTGACTCCATACGGGTCCAAAGGGGTCCGACCATGGGTGATGCACGCAGTGTGACATTGTAGGTCAATTGTTCACATCCGTGGTAAACCCCCCGGCCCAAATTCTGGTTTATCATAGAGGTCAACGAGTAAGAAAAGAGAAATCATTTTTAAATTTAAAAAAAAAAATAATATTTTGAAGTCTCACTTTAATTGATGCGCTTAATATATGTATTTAACTAGCTCAGATGTGAACAAATTTTGCTGGTGAAAGATGCTCTTCTTTCTTTTGCTTAATCCACTTAGCTATTGAGCTCACACACAATAGAAGGAAATTGAGTAGAGACAATTTAGTTCGATTCTTCTATTTATGATAGAGTGAACGTTCTCTTTAATATTGTCGCCTTATGATATGATATGATATGATGCTGTAATAAGAAAGGTAGTTTTAGGCACAGTATGAATGCTGAATCTGGAGGCAACTAGCTTTATCCTTGTATGCCTATATTGCCTTACCATTGTAAGGTTTCTTACCTTCTCCTTCATGTCTGGCTGGTGGCATTAACTCCTATTATATTGAAATCTATTATGTGGATGGTTGACATGCTATTTGCAGGCTGATGATTAAATAACCACTGGATCTGCTTGATATTACCATAGTACATTTTCTTACTTTAGGACAGAGAAAAATAGACTAGTGCATAAGATTTTTTTTTTTTTCATGTGGCTTTATGTGATTGATCTTATTGGCAGCTCAAGCACAAAAATTTTTATGTTTGTTATTCATAAGCAAAATTCAATGACAAATGATGTGTAACTGTCTCGTCAGGTTTTAATTCATTTGTGGAATTGGTAGATAATGCACATGTGCTCTGTTCAGAACAGTATCTTGGCTTAGTTTATGTTAATTTTTCTTGTTGTCATTTGATCAGACAACACATTAGCATAAAACCAGAATGGAGGAAGGACATGAAAGGATGATAAACTGCACAAAGGACTTTGATTAACTTTTCTAAGTGACATTTATTACCAGATATATATACTTTAATTTGCAATTAATCATATAACTTAATTAAGTAGATATAAACGTTCAGCTCCAGTTAGCTAGTCTCCACTCATTACACAAGTTATTCTTTTTTGCATTTGATCATCTAACAAAAACCTAGGATCATGTGAATGGATAACTTGTTCTTTCTAGTCCCATATATGAGAAACAACTTGTTTTTTGTGTCTGTTATCTAAGAATAAACTTAAAAAATATATAATTATAGTAGCATTATGAAACATGTTTCTTTTTATGAGAGCAATGGCATGTATTTCATGTACATTGGAATGAATCTCAGTTACTATGTCCTTCAGAAATGAACTTGAAAGGCAGAGATGTGTAGAGAACGCTGACCTGGAACTATTTTCCTTTTTGTTTGCAGGTGACATGGACTTCTTAAAAAAGCATGGTGAAGCACTATTAGAGTCCTTTATAAATCCATACGTCATCCGGCATCCCAAGGGCCACACTGTCCCTAGGCTTGGTGAGTTTATTCATGTTCATTTCTGCTTTCACTGCCCACTTTTTACTGTTTTAGTTGACTTTTTAATGGATCACCTTGATCGTTCTGATTTCTTGCTCCATCAAAGGGGTATATATTTACAGCCTTCTATATTAGTTTTTCACATATTTAGTCTGTGACTCGATTGACATAACTTAAATGCAACAATATCAAACTTGAGAATAGCATAGTCTAATGTTGCAATATCCTATTGGTTGGGAATGTCTCTCGGATCCTGACCTGTTCTTCTGGATGGGAGACACCTGACTAACATAGCCTCATCCAGGGAACAATTTTATCTGTCCTCCACTAATATAGCCTCATCCGGTGAATAATGGGAAACTGAATCTGTGATTTAGTTGAATTGTAACTTACATCGTAGATACGTTTCACAAAGAGCTTATCAATTCTAATCCAGATTTTCTGAGCTTTCCATCAGAGACAAAAAGTTTCTTTTAAACTTGAAAAGTCTGGCTTTTGGTTTTGCAGATGATAAAAGTCTGGAGACAATGCGTGATTTTCTGCAGAAGATTGAAAATGATCTGCCCCGCTATGCACCATGTAATGATAAGCATGAGGAAGTACACTTGAGTTAATTCACTATTGTTGAAGTTCAAATTGCTGAAGATGGTGAAAGCTGATGACAAAGTTATTATTTTAAACAGGATAATACCATACTAAAGTCCAATAATCTGATACTTTGTACTTATCAGATTTCATTTTGTGGACGTGTGTTGAGATATAAGAATTTTGTTTTTACTTTTGCAAATTCATGGTCTAAAGAATCATGCAAGTCGGAAGCATCTACCTTTGGCCTATCTATATACATGACTGTTTGGCTCCATTTCCTCATGACTATTATTGTTGAGTTAAAGGTATCCATGTGCAGCTCTCTTATTATAGGTGACAGAAAAAATCACCTATGGTTACAAACTAACAAAAGAGAGAGATCTTAAGCTCGAACATTCATGATAACTTGATCCCGGAGTGTCTGCCATGAGTTTGGGAATATGTTGGAAGTCTCTATACGGTAATGAATCTGTATGGGGCAACACCAGGAAATATTAGCATTCTACCACGGATAATATAGCCTTTTAAGCATTTCTATGGAAACCAAGTATCACTGGCATTTGGTTTTGAGTTACAATGTTTGAGCATGGCACGAAGGACTTCAGTTTTAGCAACTTTCCATCTGTCAACTCAATTGAATGCATCTGTTGAGGATCTGAATGTTGTCTGTTGTTTTGTAGTAACCACAGTTAGATGAATGTATCGATCAGTAGTTATTTACCAATCGAACCAAAGATCGGTATCAGACCATACATCTCGGTTCCATCTATACCATGCTAAAAAGTATAGCAGCATGGTATCAAATCCAACCAATTACTGAAACGGTATCAAATCAAGATTTAAAACATTGTATTTAACTATGGAATCCATTGGCTTGCTGTTGTGAATGAAATTGGGTCTGTTACAAACTATTAGAACATTCAACCACTTGAACTACCAACACAACATCGGGTTTTTTTTTTTTAAATTATATGATCTTATCTAATTAGATAAAATATATTATATATATAATTAGATTATGATTAACGATCAATAAAAAAAAAATCCAACTACGATAAAATTCCTTAAGATATGATTTTGATGTGAATGACTCTCCTAATTACTTATCCTAGATCCTCTGCTCTATTTTATACATGAATACTTAAAAAAAAATATAATTATACAGACGAGTACTTGAGAAAATATAATTATAAAATGCTTTGTATTTCATAAGTAATAAATGAAAACTACATCTTAAATATGCATTAAGATAAGTTGTATTTGACAAAATTGTATTTCTAAACTTCATTGAATATTATGTAACAAATTTATCCTTCTAATATTTTAAATATTTATTCAAAAATAAATAAATAATTTTTATTTTTAATTAAAAATATAATAGATAAATGTAAGTAATCTTATAAAAAAATTATATGACATAAATAAATAATATAATCATATAAATAAATATAAAATAATTTTTAAAAATAAATAAAATTATATGTTGTAGAAGACATAAGTCATGTTAATTTCTCACTAACTCATATTGACATTTTATGATTTTAGATAATATCATATGGTACTTTGAGAATCTGAAAAATTATATTAGCATCCCATAAATGTTAAAATGTTCATGTCACCTTTGAGATAGCATAGTATTTGAACATTTACAATGTAATATCCAGGTCAAATGCGATTCAAAATGGACTTACTAACACATTTGAAATGTGCATTGAAAGAATCAAAAGTGATTCAGAAGTGACTTCCAAACGCATCATATATCACCATATGTAATTTGGAACAACAGCGAGAGAATCAAAACATCATGAGAGGAGTCGAGCAACAAATGCACTATTGATTCCTAAAATCTGACAGAAATGCAATATCCTGCTATATACACAAGATGGTAGCGGCAACAATCCAAATTCAGTATCATATAGGAGTATTTCAACGAGGCAACTAGGAGAATCACTTTCTCTTGCCAAGAAATCCTTACTCAGAAGGGCATCACCTATTTCCAATGCAAAACGTCCACAAGAGAAGATTCCACGATTATGAACTTCATCAGGACCTCAACCACCATATGCTTGCAAGCAAGAGTTAAATGTATTCTCGGACAGCAGAAACAATTCAAGGCAATAAAGGAGCTTCACGATGGCCTTAAAAAAAATTTGGTGAGATTTTTGGATGAAAGATGATTAGCTTGCAGATATTGCCTTCGGCTGGATCCTATTGTTTGCCACATATGACAACAATTTAGTTAATTAACAATACTTGCCTTAGAATCAGTATTCGGATCAATGACTTCCTGAACCCTTTTGCTATCAGCTCAATCTGCTTAAAAGCATCTGTCACCCTTTCGCTGCATTCTAGTATTAGGAAGGTTACATGGAAAGAACTATGCTTTTGAATAGTGCATCAAAACTGCAATAATCTCTAGTGTAACTGCTTGAGTTCACTGCAAAGAACTATGCTTTTGAATAGGGCATCAAAACTGCAACTGGTCTGAGAAATAACCTTGAGATTTCACTTCCTGTTTCACTTAAAAAAGTAGATGATGCTTTCATCACGAACAAGGATCTTATTTCTTAGGATGCATCTTGAAATTATAGCACGTCTAATTTCAATAAATTGTCAATTCTGACAAAGAAAATCATCATCCACAGTGCTGCTGACATTGCTCATCCGTTGAATAAGTGATAGAGTTTCCTCATCCAGGTCTATTTGACCATGTCCCATCATCCTAAGAATATTTGGAACAACTCGCCTAGCTTTTATGTGTGTTCTGAGAAACAACTTGTACAAGGGTAAATCCATTAAGCCCAAACCTTGAAGAACCTTGACAAATGTTTTTGCCTCATCAACACTGCCGTGCTCCTCAAAATACTCTGCAATGGACATCAAGATTGCAGCTGGAGGCCTCCATTGACAATCTTTTAACATAGAGAAACCTTTCTTCATGGCTTCCACAGCCCTATCCATCTGCCTGTTATTCACCCATCCCTCCATCAGAATCTCCCATGTCTTGTAATTTGGGCGGGCACCTTTCTCCAAAGTATGAAGATGCAATGACTCAGCTTTATGCATCCATCCATTCCTCATATAAGCACCTAGAAGAACATTGGAAACCCTGACATCATAATTTCTGCATTCTGATTCCCATGTCCTAAAGATTCTCTCAGCTTCTCGAATGTCACCAACTTTCACCAAACATAATATCACACACATGTAGTTTGCACAAGTTATTCTACCAGGTACCTTTTTACTGGACTCCCACAATCTCAAAACCCCATCCCTGTCACTCAGAGCAGAATAGTTAGTCATGATAAAATAATAGGCAAGACGCTTTGTCACAGAAAGCTTTTCCTCAGCAACTCTGAGTGCATCATATGCTTTGTCAATGTATCCAGAATTTGTGTAAATATTGGCCAAAGTTGAGTATGTGCTCCAACCAACCTCAACATTCTTGTCATTTATCATTTTCATCAGAACCATTTCCGCAGAAGCAATACCAGACAACTTACCACATGCATTCATCCAAAGGGTGTACGAAAGAACATTAAGAGATATTTTGGAGCGTAGCATGTACTGGATTACATGAGTAACTGATTCGAACTTATCTGTGGCCATGTACAACTTCATCATCTCATTAAAAGGGTGAGCATCCACGGCCAACCCACAATTCTGCAGCATAGACATTAGGGACTCAGCTTTCTGCAAGTCTCTTGCTTTCACATAGTAATGTAGAAGAGGAAAAGCTGCAGCCTTCTTTGAAGCACTGGTAGTTAGCTTCTTGAAATAAGTTACAGCTTCAGCTATAGTGTGGACCTTAATTATCAAATCAAGTCTGCGTGCATGATCTGAGGATGATAATTGGAAAGGGCCATTTGAATCCATCCATGTTATAATCTGCATGTTCAGGGGACACAACATCCTTTAGGCAGATATGTCAACCTTTGTTAGTTTTAACAGTAAACTAAATAAGATCTGCCTGAAACCAGAATACTAGAGAAAACTGTGCATAATTCTAATACATGCATTAAACAACAAAGAAGTATGATAGGGAAAATGCATATCAATGAAAACCTGAGTGTAAGTGCAGGAAATTGTAAACAGGCGAATGTAGTTATTCACTAAGTGGCATCATCATATTCCAGACTAAAAAAGCAAACAAGCAATGCATCTTAATCTTATTAAGATAAAGATTAGAACAGAAATCCAGTAGAGATGGCAGAGAAGAAAATTACACTGAAAAATATAAGATGATATTTAAAAGGAAGATAAAACTCATAAGCTGAATAAGGTTATTCCGTAAAGTTAATATACTTAATATTTAACCTATCATAATTCTCTAAGGCACAAAAACAACAAGCGAAATGTGAAGTTGAGTATGTCCTTTTTCCAGGTTTCTGGACAAAATGGATTTCTGACAAGCATTATCTTACTCTCTACAGTTTACTGAACATACTTAGCAAAAAGCTAATTGTAAGTTCATAACCCTTGTGAACCATCAGCTCATGGAACTTATCTGCTTTATTGGCCAATCCAGCCTTTTTTCGATACCACAAATAGCCTATTGCGATCAGAGAATGTCAAACTCCTAGGCTGTAGCTTGCCTCCCGTCATCAATAACTTCCCCAGCTTCCTTCAACCATTCAAGCATGAGATAGGAAGCGATTATGCATATATAATTTCTGCTAGTCATTTTCTGTGAGATCAGTCCTATAGATTTCAATATTTGATTTAACATTTGCTTATTGTCCAGACCGGCATGTAAAATGATGAGGAAATCATAAGTTATCGACTCTCACTGGCTTATCTTTTTGTCAGCTTCAGCAAGAAAAAAATCCGAACATAGGTCCAGGAAAGATGGTAGAGAAGAAAATTACATCAACTGATGGATGCTACATCAGCATCCCTCGCAATGCCGTCTTCTCGGGTCCTAAAAATCCCAACTTTTCTTTTATCTTCCACCTCCACGATTCAACCCACAGAGAAATTCGAGGTTTGGATAAACACGAAAAGTTGGATCAGAATCCTACCTCGAGGGCGTGCTTGTAGCGCTGCGACCTCATGAGGTCTTTGGTGATCTGGCGGAGCTCCGACGCCGTCACCGTGCGCCCCTCTCCGGCCCATCTGTCGAGGGCGTCCGTCGCGCTCCGCTTAGGCAATCGGAGCCGAAAGATTCGGCTCCGGAGATTGTCCTCGGAGGCGGCGGTCCCCTCTTCGACGGCCAAGACTTCGCTCGTCGGAGGGCCCGAGGAGAAGGGCCGAGAGCTTTCGAGTAAGGCAAACGGTGAGGTCCGGAGGCTGGGAGCGCTAGGGTTTCTCGAGCAACATCGCCGGAGCAGGGCGGCGAAGAGGGAAGCGGTGGCCATGCCCCCTTGATCGAAAGAGGCGCCCCAACTCGGGCTGATCCGCGGGCCGGTTTTTATTGTGAGGTCCGGTCCAGTCGACATCCGGTCCGTGCCTCGCCGGTTTAAACTAGACAAATTACATATTATCTTATTAGTTATGTTTAGCATTCTAATCCAAAAAATATATTATAATTTTTATATTTATAAAAATAAAATATTTAATCCGGTTTCTTTTCGTGTTATAGATTTTATTGATAAAAATATCATAAAATTAAATATTTTATTTTCGTAAGTATAGGGATCTTAATATAATTTTTGAAAATATAAGGTTCGAAATATTAAAAATAACCAATTACATAAGATAATTTATAACTAATCTCTATAAATTGTTATTAATGATGCTGAATCATCTAACCACCCCATTATTAGAGTAACACAAAATATGATTTTTTTTTAGAAAGAAGACAAAATTAGCATTAATTTGATGCTCTCAATATCATATTTACAATTTTTACTTAAAAAACTATGCCAATTAGTGCTTCCTTGAAATGCTTATTTTACTTGTAATATTTTATCGTTCTCACTGAGGTCACGTTGTTCACGCCCACAACAAGTCAAACGTCGATCACAATGAGCAGTTTGGATGATGTTTCACAGGAAAGTGACAGCCGATGACAGTATTGTTGCGTCCCAAAAGTTCCTTCCTAATGACAAAGGCTTTGGGCATATGGAAAATGTTGACATTGTCCAATTAGAGGAGCATATATAATCAAGATGTTAAGGATATGTATCTTTTGTCTCCTTGGTGATATAATGCAAGTACATATGACAAGTCTCTCTTTTTATCATGAAAGCTGAACCAACTCAGAGTAATGCCATCTCTGACTTCTGGTTGGATCATGTTTTATCAGATACGGTAAGCTGGATGGCACCGTATCTTTGTTTCTGCAACAACGAAGCCAAGATTAACCTTTTCTCTCGATCACTGAAAAGAAAGCAGATATTTTTGTAGGTGGAAAAAGAGTTGTCTGAAGCGGACTTGCATGTGGTAAGGTACATGGAACCATGTGTGCGAACAGCCACTGATAAGACTCCCGAGACGACCGACGGATAGACGACAACTGCGGTTGATTTGGGTTCTCCCCGGAGTATATCTTCTGGGACGCAACGAGATTGGTAATATTCATGAAGCCACTGCAAGTACTAATCTCAATAGTTACCTAGCATGGCCTACGGTTAGGTTAGAACCAAGTTTGATAGTCAAGGGTGGGTGAAAGAAGACAAAGCTCTCGCTGAAGGGGCTCCAAGCTCGTCTATAAACAGGACGGTGGAACCAGCGGAGGAAGATGAGACATGGAGGTCCAAGAGGAGAGCGTCCCTCTGCTGACAAATGGTGGGACGGGGTTAGCGAGGAGAGTGTGGGAGGAGTCGAAGAAGCTGTGGGCGGTGGTGGGGCCGTCGATGATCGGAAGGCTCGCCTTGTATGGAATGTGCGTGATCACACAGGCGTACGCAGGGCACGTCGGTGATCTCGAGCTGGCGTCCTTCTCCATCGCCACCACTGTGGTGGCGTCGTTTGCGTTCGGCTTTATGGTATGCACCCTCATCTCTCTCACGTCCTTCGGAAAAGAAGGGAAAGAAACACTAGTAGTTTCGCCGGAGTTGGCCATCGACGACAACGATGCATATGAAAACCACAAAATAATCTTTTGATTGCCATAAAATTTATGGGAGCAAATGATAGAAGATCAACGTAGGAATATTCAATCAATCTGATTAATGTAGTATTTAAATAATTGATCTGATTATATGATTTGAGTGCATGATTAAAAAAAATCTATCTCGTATTTTGATTGCCATAAAATTTATGCTTTTTTTTCATTACATCTTCCTCAATTTTATATGATATCTTCTCTTCTCTAGCAAAATTTTATATGATATCAGATTAACACTCCGGTGAGATCGTTCCCTTACTTCTCTTCAACGATCATCTATCTTTTGTTTTTCACTTGTGCTACATGATCTTCACGATCTCATATTCATACTACTGATCGATCGATTAGTAGACTTTCTCATAAAGTCTTTCACTCGAAAGATATTTCAATTATACTGATCCAAGATTAAGCTTACATTGGTCTTCCATCATAGTTAATTTTGCACATGTAAAATAAAACTTCGATCGAGACAATTAATCCTAAGCAATTAACCAAGTTGTCTGGCATGTCATTGGTCCCTCGCCGTTTTGTCCGATTCTTTGACGCATCATCCTCTCTGTGACTTATTGCCTATTCGATCAGTTGACTCCGTAACTCCGCAACTTAATCAATTGAATCAATTTAAGGTTTGAGTAATTGTTCATTGCATAAATTGAGTATATAATTTAAAAAAATTTCCCTATTCATCATATAAAATTCATCCATTTTCACAACCTATTCCACAATTTTACATCAAACCCGTCGATAAGTTGTGCCGCGGTATATATGCATACTTACACACGTAGACACGTACCTGCATGCTTGCTTTCATATCGAGGATGTTTAACATGGTCCATCCCCGCGCAGCTTGGCATGGCGAGTGCCATGGAGACGCTGTGCGGGCAAGCTTTCGGGGCCAAGCGGTACCACATGCTGGGTGTGTACATGCAACGATCCTGGGTCGTGCTCTTCGTCTGCGACATCCTCCTCCTCCCCTTGTACTTGTACGCCACCCCGTTGCTGGAGTTGCTGGGGCAGCCGCGGGAGATAGCAGAGCAGGCCGGATACCTCTCGCTGTGGCTGCTGCCCATGCATTTCTCCTTCGTCTTCCTGTTCCCGCTGCAGAGGTTCCTCCAGTGCCAGCTGAAGAACTCCGTCAACGCCGCCTTCACCGTCCTCGCCCTCCTTGTCCACGTCCTCGTCAGCTGGTTGCTCCTGGAGAAGCTGAAGCTGGGGCTCACCGTCGCCACGCTGACGCTCGACTTCTCTTGGTGGGTGGCGGTGGTGGGTCAGTTTGGGTACGTTGTCTGCGGGGGTTGTCCTCGTACTTGGAAGGGCTTCTCCTTTGAAGCATTCGCCGAGCTGTGGGGGTTTCTGAAGCTGTCGGTCTCATCCGGTGTCATGCTCTGGTATTTCCACTTTGTTTACCCATCTCTTGTATGCTCTTTCTCTTCCTTTCCCATTCATGACTCGAACTCACCGTGCACAGTGCCTTCTTGCATAAACAAATATATGGAATTTGCATTAGGTTGGAGGATCATAGTTGAATCAATGAGACATACATATATAATCTCTCAGCTTGTGTTATCTACTTCTCCTTGATAGCCTTTGTTTTTGGTCCCTCTATGCTCGGATTTACAACGCCCTAAACCAAAACAAAACAAAACAAAAAACCATACAAGTCTTATTCTACAAATTAAATTCAAATAATAAAAGACAAATCAATGACTTTCACTAAAAACAAAGTACCACACGAGAGAAGTATTACAGAGATGGGTTTCAAGCTAGGAAATAAATTTGGAGAAGCATTGCTTTAAACTTTTAATAACGTTTGAAGAGGAAAAGAGTGGCATCATCAAGATAATATTATTGCTATCACTATTGACTTGCTCTTAATTGTTCTCAAATTGATTCCAAAAGCTTTATATTCACTTTTTTTTTTCTCGAGAAGAACCTTCTACCCATCAGTACATTCATTTATGCATTTGTGTATTGATGTTATTTCTTAGTCATCCAATAATTAATGCGACTGACACTAATTAGAGCATGCCCAAAACTACATGTTTCAAATGCCATATTTTCAAATCAAGCTGAAGAAAGATGACACTGTTTAAGTTAAGCCCACTGCAGTAATTGTTAACTTTTGATGACCTTATTATATTCTATTATCTCAACATTTATGTTATTTCTTGTTGAGCAGCTTGGAGAACTGGTATTACAGGATACTTGTTCTACTGGCAGGTAATCTAAAGAATGCTGAAATAGCTGTGGATGCTCTCTCTGTCTGGTGAGAAGCATGAACTCTGTATTACAATCACCTTTTGAGTGGGTCAATGGAATACTATATAAAACACACAAAATGAGTTTAATGCCACCACAGTAATAAATTAAAATGCCCTGTCATCCAATAAATGGACAAACATACAATAATAATATATGTCCCACTAAATATAAGTTTAGCATGTACATCCCTACAAATTATAAAAACTTGTATACATATTATTGTGGTTAATCTTTATCAGTTTAATTAAAACTCTACATGACATTGATACTCTTTAGTTTGATTACAGATACAGTAGGAGCACTTTACATATTTATATATATTTTTAAGTTCAAACTAGTTATACTTGGCAGTGATTAATTTTTTATGAATTTTAATTGGAAGGATTTATGCAAAGGATCATAATATTTGGAAGAGGCATATGAGAAGGGTGTTACATCAAAATTTATTAGGACAAATATGTTATTTTCAAACTCTGAAAGGTTATTTATATATATTATTTTGAAAACCAGTTTTAGTCTTTTCACCATGTTGTGATTTCAACCAATATGTTTTCTGATTCAGATATAAGTATGAGGCAACATGAATATAATTATACTGGTGGCAAGATGAGTTGAGTCTATATATCTGAACAAGCTTTTTCTGGTTGTACAGCATGAATATAAACTCCTGGGAGATGATGATTCCATTGGCCTTCTTTGCTGGCACAGGGTATGTTGTTTGTTATCACTTAGTCTACCTCCTCCAGTTTTAGGTCATCAGCCTTCTAAAGTTTCAAGGGATTAAATCCATAGTCTCCTATCACCTAAGTCATGAACCTCATTTACAGAATCCATGTGTGCTTTGGATCATCTTCTCTCACATATGCATTGAACTGCTAGATTAATTACAGCATTTGGGTTAACAATCTATCCAACATGATAGTAACAATCTTCTGCTGACTTGAGGCTTTTAGACAAGTGTACTCACATGATCACATCCCCCACTACAGCACAGAGCATGTCTTTCAGTTGCCCTCCAGGTGAATCATATATTCCGCATAGCAGGAGTTCCACCACTCGAAGCTAAGGACTATATTATAGGACTTAAAGTTGCTAATGTTGATAGATTACATTCAGTCAAACAAGTAAATATGGATTCTAACTAGCCATGTGGCAGTGGTATAGTTCATTTTTCACTTATGCCAGATTTTCTCTTCCTCTGTGCCTTGTCAGCTAAGGTAAATGTATTTGACAATGATCACTAGAGTTGCAATCTTTACAAATAAATGCTTGCTATCAACATAGATGAGATTCCTCAACTCAACATACGCTAGAACCTAGATAAAGCAATAACATTATTGCACAATCTTTTCCTGGTATCACATGCTTCAGATTTGCTTGTTGCAGATTCTACAGGGTATAATGTCGAGAGTCATAAGTTCAAATGACAGCAGCACACATGAGTATTAATTGCCGAATATCTAGTTACAAGCATTAGTATCATACTAGACAACTCTAGGTTTGAAAGTTGCATCCAAGGTGTTTTAACGAATCAGTTTTGTCCCTTCATTAATTTATATTGGATCCAGACTCTTATTTACTCCCTACTGCTAAGTAGCATTTGGTCATTTTGAAGCAAGAGTAGTACATATAAACTGATTTCAAGTAATTCACTGATGCTTACTTTTGGGTGAGAACGAAGAGTCCGGGTTGCTAATGAGCTTGGAGCAGGCAATGGAAAAGGCGCAAGATTTGCTACCATTGTCTCTGTGGCAACATCTACAGCTGTTGGCCTTGTCTTCTGGTCTCTAATCATCGGTTTTCATGACAAAATTGCTCTTATCTTTTCAACAAGTCGAGTCATTCAGGAGGTTGTTAACAGGCTATGTATCCTATTGGCATTCAGCATTCTTCTCAACAGTGTCCAACCAGTTCTTTCTGGTGAGCTGATCCTCTTCCATGTAATTCTTGCATCTAAGACTACCTGAAAAAAAATAAAAGGCATGAAATTAGCATACTAATTTACTGTTTGATAATAGTTACAAAAACAAAAAAGAGAAATAAAGTAAGGAGATCTGGTTCAATTTTGAGCTCATTTAAAAAAAAAAAAAGAACCTTTAACGCATGATTAGTAAATAAAATACTCAATCATTACCTCCAGCGGTGCTCATGGATTACTAATTGTAAGAGAATCTTTCTTAAGGTGTTGCTGTTGGGTCAGGGTGGCAAGCATTGGTGGCATATGTGAATATTGGAACATACTACTTCATTGGCATCCCTTTTGGATTGATTCTAGGGTGGATTTTTGAACTTGGCATTCTGGTATGTTCCACTATTCTTTACTTTTATTGGTTGCTATGTAAGACACAACTAGCTTTGTCATGAGGGTAAGATGATGGACAACAAAGAGAGAGTAACAATCAGTAACATACATATATTTCCTTAAAAAAATGCGAGATGTAAAATATGATCTGCATAGGTGGATAATCCATTCCATGCAGTAGATTAGTAAATCATGTTTCTCAAGAGAAAACAAAATATCATAATCACTAAATAAAAATAAAAATTACATGCACCATTAAGTGTTATTTTTCACTTTATATAAGCATCTTAAACAGAAAATCAGAGCACAAATTAGTGCAGAATATTCAGTTCTTAATTGATTTCTGTACATTTTTTTAGAAGCATGGCAGTTATATGTTTGAACTAAGGGAAAAATCTTGCTCCAAATTTCTTCAGGGCCTTTAGCTTGGGTTGGTTATTTGTTTTCTGATGAAAAGATTTTGGTTAATATTATACCAGGTTAGATTAATAATGAGAACTTTTGTTGAATGATTCATGCATGTCTTCTTATTATACTATTTTAGGATTCTTATATGTATGGATCAGTTAATCTTTCAAACTGACCAGTTCAGGCAATCTTTTGAGCGAATCTGAGAAGGCTAACATGAACAAACATAAATCATGGTCAGTGATGTCTATGATAAAATGACAATATAATCAAGAAAAACTTCATGTCTGACAAATAGTGGTAATAGTGGATATCGATGTCACTAAGATGCCATAGGAACAACTACACAAAAGAAAATTTTGACACGAAGAGAGTCAATTCCTATCCAATGTGAGAACTATTAAATTAGGAAATCATGTTAAATACTCACAATTTTCTCTTGTGGCCTTATATTATCTTAAGTCATATCCAACTAAACTTTCTTATAACAGGGCATTTGGGCTGGAATGATTGGTGGAACAGGCATTCAGACATTGATATTGGCCATTTTGACCATTCGATGTGACTGGGATAAAGAGGTAAGACCAGCCATCTAAATCGTCCGCCATACATTTTGAGTTGTCTTTGTTGTTTCAGAGACATTTCATGTAGACCATCTATTTTCCAGGCAATGATAGCTAGGGACCGTGTAAAGAAATGGTCAGTTGCAGCCGACGATATACGTACAAATTCCTGAACAGCACAAAAATTGATCAGGCAAACGTTAAAGTCAACTATGATTGCCAGTTATCCTTGGAGAAAATTATATTAAATTTATAAAAATGCAACAAGTGGTAAGAAAAGAAGCATCTAGAAATAAGGAGATCATTATATGATTAGCCAATGAATTCTTGCATATTAAACTCCATGGATTTGTAAGTATTGCAATGGACAGCTATTGGCAATAATCCACTATTCTGATTTCTGAGTATTGCTCCATAATTATCAAACTTTACATCTCCATTCTAATATATTCTTACTCAATTGTAATTCCTCTTCTAAAAAAGGAATATTGCAATTTCTTTACTCTTCTGTCATGGAAATTATGTCAGACCGCTAATACATGGATCCAACAACATAAAACTTGCTGTTATAGGATGTCTCTCACCTTCTTAATAAAAGAATGTGATGTAATAGTATCAACAGTACTGGCGATTATATAATTGTAGCAGACCTCCTGCCCTGTTAATTGGTGATATTTCTTACGAAAAATTTCTTATGATTAATTACCTGATTGACATCCTTCTTTCTAGTTATCTAGGAAGAAGATGGAATCTTGTCTTTTAAATCTGAGCTATAAATAAAATCAGCCATTTCTTCCCTCTCTATTCCAATTCATATACTTTAATTTATTTAACCTCAGGATGTGATTTTTCTAGCTTCTTGTCATTACAAAGACAAAAGAAAGCAACACAGTGTCACTGAAAAAGTATTGTTCAGAGAAAATTTTTGATGTACTTACAAAGATCCATGATAAAATAATGACTTTGGAAAGTAATGGAAGAAAATAATGGATTGAATGTTGATAAATCAGCCACCTGTTTGATTTTGTAATGAAAAACTCTAATTGGCACAAAACCATATTTTATTATTTATAAATGAAGCAAAGTTCCACCCTCCAGTTTTAGTGAAAATCTTAATTTCCATCCCTTGGCAGATGAACATGCATGCACTAGTATATTTAAATAATTTGAGTGTATATCATTGCGGAATAAATATTACCCTCTGAGAAATACTGATATAGCTTATATATTTAGATGGTGCAAAAGTTTTCAACCTATATACCAAATACCAACTCCTCCTAGTGCTCCTATACATACTTGAGAAAGCATCGTGTGTTGGTCTGGGCTACAGAGGGTCGAATAGAGCTGTTTTTTTATACAGATTTGAGAATAGCATCATGTGGTGGTTTGGGCTAAGGTTGAACAAAGCACCTAACAGAAAGTCCTTTGGAATACAATTTTGAGAAAAGCATCACGTAATAGTTTGGGCTAGAGTCAAGCAGAACAACTAATATAAAGTAAAGCATGAACATTGTGTAGTGCTTCACTATCCTTTTTTTTTTAATTCTTACTTCTTCTTTTTTTATTTGCATCACTAGCACAGAAATATGTAACTGCACCCCAGAGGAATGGAGACCATGACCAATCTCGTGAAAGGGAATATCTTCCTCAGATGGACAACCTAGGTCAGATCTCAAGGAACTCCATACATGATTTCTACACAAGTATTTCCTAATGTAGAATAAGTTAATCTTAGAAAATCATATCTCTATATTTATTGTTTATGACCATTGAGACATGGTTTACCTAACTAGCAATATACAAGATCAGAGACCTAAGATGCAGATGTCATTTAACTGCTGCCTCTATAACCCATGAACTACTTTTGTGAAGACCGAAGAGATGACACAGCATATGATTACAGTCACGTAGTTAGGTGATACCATCTAAATTACAGCCAACTTGGAGAACTTATAACAATTGCATGAGCATATGTAAAACCTGATCAATGCAGAAATTTTCATCGCTTCTTAAATAATGACAATGTTCCTTTTTCCCATGATTCAAGGTTGGATTAAGCATTCTATTGACCTTTTTTACTTTAGACAACTTGGTTGCCCATGAATTTGGACAATGGGTCCGTCCTAAGTACTGATATAACGAGACTCCCAGGATAGGATAAGCAATGCAAGGAGGCACTTGGGGAACTCTTACTCATACGAGCCTGTTTGGTTAGTTATTCTCGTAATGGGTAAGACTTCCATAAGATCCAATTGCCATCCTATAGGATGCAGAGTGCAGCCGCAAAGAAACAAATACCAAGAATTTTCGTACTAGCCAGCATTTGGGTACACCAGGGGAAATTAAACCGCTAAGATGGGCTTGAACATTTTACACTCACTCAAGCAATTTCACCAGTTCCAAAAATTGTTCCAGTAACTCGTCCAAGATTTGGTTTGTCCTCTTTCAAACCTGTGTTTGGCAAGCTTTGATTTCTAGAGCATGGGACAAGCAAGGAAGCTATATGCTTATAGAGGCATAATAACAAACATATTTAACGCAAAACAAAAAGGCAACAGAACGGCATGTAGCGGAGTTTACGAAAAGGCAAAGCCAATAAACTGCAGTCGAACCCTATCTGCTATGCGATTTTGATAACAATCTCTAGGAACCGTTTATGAAACAGCATTCATTAATCTAAATCTGCAACAAAGAGGACAGTTCGTTTGATCAGCGGCAAGAGACTTACGATGGCAGCGGAATGCAGCCGGTTCACGAGAACGAGCTGCACGGTGCTTTAGTCCATTGTTCGACACGAGAATGCCGAGCACAGCCGGCATTTCATGCTACGGGATTCTTCGCTGCATTGTTATAGCAGATTACGTCGACAAGCTGGGTGACGGATAGCTGTAGCCCGCCCTCGAAGATGACAATAAGCCAAAGTACAGCGTGCGATACGATCGATACCTTTACTTGAAGTGTTTGGGTAGGACCGCGAGGTTGACATAGAAGATGAATCTGAGCTTTTGACCGAAAAGAATCGCGATGCACGCACCTGATTCCGAAATCCAATTCCGAATCTGGTCTGAACCTGCATTGATCTTGAATTGTATTCATCAACATAATTAGAGATCGATGCACCAAATAAATAATTTTGCAGTTGAGATGACAAAGTTTACTTAGAAGAGTTGATATAATTAGTTAGTATTAATAGTAAAAAAGGGTAAATTCCCAAAAATATAATAATAATAATAATAATAAGCTCTTTATTTTTTACAAATTCTCAGTTAGCATCCTATTTTTATTCATTTCCATATAGCATCCTTTTTTTTCCTTAAAAGGATGCTGTTATCATGATCTTCGTCCCCATCATTACTTCCTCTTTCATGTTATTCTTATAGTTAATAAACGTTGACAGGGTAAACAAAAGGGCCATTTAACGTTGCTTCTACGCATCAACAAGAACGCACAGTGCACGAAATTGCTATTTATTTATCGAGCAAGTAATACGCCTTAGGATTTTATTATATTATCTATCCATATAAACCCACTTGTCTGCAGGGCAATATTAGATTGGAGAGGTTGACTTTAGATTTTGGATCAAATCTGATCCCCTTTTTTTAATTCTGTATGATATAAGACTACACTCTTAATCCCATAAGAGTTCAAACTTATGACTTATTCATGTATGTTCATGATTTTTTATTTTATTTTAATGGTTCAAATTATTTATTTATTTATTTTTTATATTATCGGGTTTGTGAGTCACCATGGTATGACTCATCTTTATTTGATTAATTCGTAGCTTGATTGACTTTATTTTTTTCTTAATCTTGACTCATTCACCTATCTCTAATACTAATAATAATAATGATTATTATTATTATTATTATATGTTTAATAATATTTTAAGATATGCCAACTAGTTTAATAGGTAAGGATAGGGCACGATCCTAAGTTTAACTAAATTATTTTAACTATAATTTTAATAAGTAGTATTTAGTAATGGTGACGAAAGCATTCATCGACTTTGTGCTGCAGGTAAGATCACACGTAGGATTACTCAGCATATATACGTCGCTGGTTGAACTTAGAAGCACTAAGATTTCAACGCGTTGACCACGCTCCGGTTTATGCTTTGCGAAGATCAACGCCGTTTTATTCACCGTGAGGAAACAAAGTATGTTGCTACGATATTGATAAATCGGAAAGATGTCATACAATGTTTCTCTACTTGTTTAACATAGTCTGAGAGATGAGTTTTAATAGTGCATTCGAAGAACGACCCTTCCATAAACACAAGGAGGTCCAAACCTGCGCAATAGTATGTCACCTGCATAAGAATAAGATAGGATATATGTACAATTTCTCTTAGTAAACCACGCTAATCTCATGTATGTAATTTTATGTATTTATATAAAGTGAAAACTGGAACCAAGTCAACAAGCAAGAATTTGCAGAGCTCGACACGGTCAAACTTGCCGAGTCAGGGAGCTGGTCGGGGATTCGTCATCGTCTCGTCCTCCGCCGCCTCCGCCTCCGCCTCCGAGGCATTCCAAGGACGTCCTCACGGCCGCTACCCTTCTCTTGACTGAGCCCTCCGCTTCCCCCTTCTGCACTGAGCACTCGCCCTCCCCTTTCGTCCCCGTCACCCACGCCGGGACCTTCACTGACAGCGTCCGTAAGAAGAACGGTGGCCACCGGTCCGACTTCCGAGGGCGGAAGCTCCACCATCCGCGGCTACTTCCCTCCCCGCCGCCGCCGCCGCCGCCACCGTGCCCGCTCCTTGAGCTTCCCTCCCCGGCGATTGGGGACGCGACGCAGCTTGCTGAACGGTGGAGCTTCCGGGCGGCGAAGATCTCCTTCCTTATGTGCTCCGGCAACCGGAGGGTGTACCGGTCCACGTCCTCCACCGACCGGACCACGGAATGCCCGGTCGAATGAGATCGTGGGAACTTCGGCGACCGACGCCCGGATCGCGACCGAGCCTCCCGCTTCTGGCTTCCAATTCGCGCCAGTTCCATGGCCGCCTTCCGCTCCTCCTCCTCCGCCACTGCAGAGTTCACGGGGATTGCAACATGATTTTGTGGCAGGGCAGCGGACTCGGGATGATTGCCCGCCGTTGGGACGGCAACAAACGGCGGGTGGAGACCGCCGTCGGTGGTTTGCTCGGCGAGGTTGGCGCGACAGACCGGGCAGGTGACGTGGGAAGCAAGCCAGGCGTCGATGCAGTCCGGGTGAAAGACGTGGCTGCAGTGGGGGAGGAGGCGGAGCTCCTCGTCGTCCTCGAACTCGCTGAGGCATACCGCACACTCCAGCGCGCCCTTCCCTGCCTTCAGCCCCTTCACCTCCGCGTACATCAGCGTGGGGAACGTCTGCAGCACCTCGGGTTTCAGCCCCTGCTGCCGCCGAGACCGAGCAAAGCCGCCGCCTGCCCAGCGGGGGGAGGACACGCCGAGGTCCCCTCCGTCGCCGGTGCAGGATCGGATGTAAATGGCCAAGAACCCAAGGCAGAAGAAAACACTGATCATGCCGATGATAACGATGGACATCGCGGGGTTAAACTTGGCGTCATAATTGTAGAAGCTATTGCTGCTGTTGTTTCCGCGGCCGGAGGGCGGCGACGGCTGGGCGTGGACGCACCAGGGTGCGAGGAGCAGCGGGAGCACGGAAAGGACGACCGCGATGGACGGCCCGTCGATCGGACGGCGACAACGATTCGTGGCCATTGAGGACGCAGTACGAGGAGCGAGATACGGTTGTGTCGGTGAAGCAGGAGGCGATTATAAGGAGACGATGAAGGCTAGGCGGGAGGGAAGGAGGAAGGAAGCCTCAGCGGTCAGTGTAGACTTCCTCTCCGCTACGACTCCTTGGGTTTCAGTTGTGTGCAGCGACACTCTCCCACTTACATCTTACGCGACACTTACTCGCGTGATCATTTGATCCTGATGTGGGGCTCAGCACCTCTGCGCATCGGAGAAGCCCCACGTGCGACAACACGTTTGAATTGAGTGGGTTTAGATTCTCCGGCCTAAACGTTCCACGTGAACCCGCTGGTGGTTGGGAATGGACGGATTTGATGAGGGGGAGTCGAGATTTAAAAATCAGCGAGAGAAGCTCCGGGTGATGAATTTGGCTAGCGTATCTCATTGATACGACGAGGAACGACGGCGAAGATGGGCGGTTCCGAAACGCGCCGCCATCGACGGGACCAAACGGATACGAATCGGATAAGATGGATGTATCAGTTTAACTTGGTTGGACAAATACGAAAATTCAAAAAGAAAAGTCGATCTCCTGTCATTTTTATATTGGCTATATTTGTAAATTTAAGTCTTATTTTTAAAATTAATTATTTAAATAAATAGAATATAGTATCTATGTGTGTTTGGGATCGGGCAAGTCGATCAAAGCAGTAAGAGCTGAAGGCTGGGCAAGTCGAGGCGGCAGCGCAAGCAATCTAAAAGCTGTTGAGTTGCTGTCCCACCTCTTCATGTCGTGAGGTGACATGATTGATCGAGGTTGGTGGAACATTATGATCGATAAGACCCCATTAGATCAGACGTTTGGGCGTGAGATGGGAAAATGAGAAGGCAGCTGACCAGACACATCTTTGCTCGACCCTAAATCTAAATTGACTTGCTAGCTATCTCATAACATAGATGCTGGAAACGTGTGATTTCTCTCCGCATAATTTCGCGTAGTTTAGATCGACACTTGGAACGGAGAGAGTGGCAACCAAAATTTTGAGCACGAGAAGAAGCAAAGCGGAGAGGAAGGTAGAAGATTGAGATCACAGTGTAGCCACTGAACCTGCTGCCATGAATTCTCTCTCAGCAAAGCGTAGGCCAGAGGAAAGTTTATACGAATACAAGGATCTACCCACATAACTAAGCCTCATTGTCGTATACATTATGTCTTTGTATATAGTTAATTGCAGTCACAGCCAAGATCTTAAACTTTTCTGCCATTGTTAATGCAAGCAGTGGAGCTGAACGACCAAACTTTGAATGATTACCGGCTTCACCCAAGAAAAGCCCACGTAATACGCCATCTGGTGCAGCTGCGTGACGGGAATCTTGTCGGAAGGAATTGCTTAAAGAAATGATCGCACTCGTGATTGGCGTAAAGGTTGTGATCAGAATAAGCATCTATGTTGCACTTCTCCGCCATGGTGAATTCTTTGCAGGAGAGAGAGGTGAGGACAGAGGAGGCAGCCCGCTTGCGAGCCCTCCCATTTCTTTAGTCCGGTCCTGGATCTTGCATATCGCTTAAAGAAAGAAAGTTATCGCTATAAACATACAAACGAGGATCGATACAGGCCATCAACTCCAACTTGCAACTCTGAACAGGTATACTCCCTCTAAGGCAAGCTGCTGGTTTGTTCCTGTCACTGGCAACTCAAGTTTAGAGGCCGCTCCATAGAAGATGATATACGCTGGAAACAAAAGAAACGAAATATGAAAGCTAAACAAATATGCAAATTGCAGCTACTCATTCTGAGAACTGAAAGCTCGGAGTAACCAAGAACAGGCTCGATAAGCTTAGATTTTATCTACGTTGCTGAAAACAACAAGCTGACACCAAAAAGCTGGAATCAGTAACTTTATGATGTTAAAATACATACAGAGGAAACTTTCATATTTTATTGTTCCTTCGAGACCTTACCTTCGTGTTGTGGTTCCTTTTCAAAGTGGTAGTAGTCTGACTGATTGAGCATGGAAGAAAGACCAACGGGTCATGTCATGCAGCTTTGCAGATATCTATGACCCGAGAAAGGAAGGAATCGTCCAGGGGAAAAGGACCTTGCATAAGAATTTGAGAGAAGGGGCTCCTGCGCTGTCATCTCCAAGTTGAGACGGTGGCCACATGACTCTTCTCCTGATCCCACTCCGCACCAACAGATGCAGCCTGGACTGGCCTCACTGCCCGAAAGAGCCTCTGAAGCCTGTTGTCCTCTCTTCTTCCCTCGCTACGAACCAAACTATTATTTCTTCCCAAATTAAAATAGAAGCGACTGATCTCATCCACTTTTGGAGTTGCAGCTTTTTGAATTTTAATTTTAGCTAAACCCAGCTAACGACGGTGTCCTCGTTACTCGATGCTGTGCATTCCTTTCTTGACCTCAACTGGCAACCTTGGGCTGTGTTCTTGTTTCCACCGAGGCCTTTAAAGCGCCCCTCCCCCGTCCTTAGTTTGGCCTCGCCGTGCTTCTGTCTAAGGTTTCGTTCAATTCTGTACCAATAGATAGTGCCGTGGCAGCAGAAAGATGGCACTAGAAGCCGTGGTGTTCCCGCAAGACCTCTTTGGTTGCGACGTGAGGGAGTTGCACAAGAAGGGAGGGGAGGTTTGGCGCTATGACTTTGGTGGTGTAGCAGAGGACGGGAAGGTATGTGGTAGTGCTGGCGATCAAGATGGGAGGGGACTGAAGCAAGAAAGGAAGGTGGAGGATGTAACGCGTGGGCCGTGGGACACCTCGAGCTCCTCCATCGTGCAAGCTTCTGCTGATGGCCATGTGAATTCCTCATCACCGGAGACGGGCACCGAAGACGCCTTCAACGTTAGCCCAGGATTGGCAGCACGCCGGAGAAAGAAGCGGCGGTTGAAGAGCTTCAAGAACCAGGAGGAGGTGGAGAATCAGAGGATGGCCCACATCGCCGTCGAGCGCAACCGGAGGAAGCAGATAAACGAGTACCTTGCTGTGCTGCGGTCACTCATGCCAGCCTCTTATGTTCAGAGGGTCCGTTTCCCTTAACCCTTCTACTTCTTCTGGCTTCTGTACCTTAAAGCATCACGAACTACTTCCATCGTAGGTTGCACTTAATCCTCTGCTGCTAGTTTTCAGTTCGATCCAATAGTTCTTATGGCAAGGAAAACCGGTGGTAAATTGTGTTCTTTGGTTTGTCTGATGGCAAAGAATCTGTCTTGCAACAGTGAACAAAAAGACGAGCAGTCTCGTTCCACATGCTTTCAGATTCAATGCCAATTCCATTTCTGATGATTATTTTTGAGAACTACGCTCATCAACTCTGAAATCATGTTGATTTCGACACGAACAGGGTGATCAAGCGTCAATAGTTGGAGGCGCGATAGATTTCGTCAAGCAACTCGAGAAGTTCGTCCACTCTCTCGAAGCTCACAAGAGGGTCAAGCAGCGATCCAGTTCCTCCCCCTCCCCCTTCGCTGATTTCTTCTCCTTCCCACAATACTCATCGAACTCCCCTTGTTGCGCAAAGTCTGCCGCCGATGACAGCGCCGGTGAACCTGCAGTGGAGAACCACTCGCCTGTAGTAGCAGAGGTAGAGGTGACCATGGTGGAGACCCATGCCAACCTCAAGGTCCTCTCGACGCGGCGGCCCAAGCAGCTACAGAACATGGTGGTGGGGTTGCAAAGCCTCCACCTGACAACTCTCCACCTCAACGTCACCACCATTGCTGACATGGTCCTCTACTCTTTCAGCCTCAAGGTACAGCGAGGCCTAGGTCCCTTTCACTCCCTGCTATTTCCTTCGGAATCATGAGTTGCCAGCTGATGATGAACTCTGTGCTATTTTTGTTGTTGATTGGTATAGGTAGAAGATGAATGCCTATTGACATCGGCGGATGAGATTGCAACAGCAGTCCACCAAATGGTTGCGAAGATTCAGCAGGATGCTGCCTTTGATTGTGCTGTGTGATGATGGCCTCTCATAATCTCGTCTAATATCCTGTTTTCTGGTTGCTGAAATGCCCTTAGTCCAAACTCAGCTTTGTTTCCTCAAAAACTTGGTGAGGACCATTATAAGGCTTGTAAGCAGTGAGCTTTCTATGAGCTAAATCCAAGAAGAAGACTCCTATTGATCAAATGCTCCTGTACCTGTTCTAAGAGCTTTCTTCAAGGTAAGAGTGCACACCCAAGGAGGACGAAATTTACGTCACGTTGTAAGAAACTAGTTGTATTTTATTGGAAGCTATCATGGCGTGTTGATGGCAGAGGACAGTGTTGGGTTCCTGTGAGCCCAAAAAAGGAACCTAAAAGGAGGAATGCAGATAGATAGGGGGCTCTTAGAGTTGTGCGACTGCTTATTCCCACTTCTTCTGTCCTACAAGGTGTCATCCTTCATGGCGTTCATTGATTCATTTTTATCTGTACCATATTGCATGCGCGAGAAAATAAAAGAAAACACAGGATTTGAGGATGTTGATCCGTGACCCTTTAAAACAAATGTGTACATATTAGAATATCTACGCACAAAAAAAGTATATGCTGTTTCAGTAAGTAAATCTATGCGGAAAAATATATTCTTAAAGTAGGATGTATCACGACGCTTAATAGCCTAAAATTATGTATTTGGTATTAATTGATGTAGTTAAATTACTAATATCGTGATCAAATCTAAGAAATCAAAAGAAAGAGAGAAAAAAAAAGAGTCCACGTGTTGGTGGGTCACTGGTAAGCAAGCCTATTTGATGTTTGGTGCTCCCCATCAATCTTCATTATTCTTGCATTATTGGGTGTTTGACGATGTTGTCTCGCGTTCACACTGGACGTAGTTCGTGCGTTGATCCAAAGACACAATACTACTCCCACCACTGTCATCACTTCTAAGTGCACGATCTGATTGCGGGACCCACTGTTTTGACGAGCTAGTTGTGTTATTTGACCTGTATCCCGACCGAGTGTGTCCAGCTTCATCACTGGGTAGCTAGTTTGCACACGCAACGCACGTTTAGAGTGGCTGTGTGTGTTTCTAGTACGCTGTATCTGTATGGGCAGGTTGTACATCGAACACGACGGTCCATTGGTTCAAATCAAATGCTCCTGTCTGGGTCCCATGTTTTGATCCAATGATATTCGAGTACAAGTGATCTCTTGTCAGAAGGAAACAGCTGAGCCATTTTCTCGTCCTACGCTATGGACAATAAGTCACTTGACCTCATGCGTTTCCCGATAAGAAATGTCACACGTACTCGAGTGCCGGAACCCAAAAGTAACCTCACCGACAGATATGGGCCCTACAGACTCGAAAACTTGTCTATGTTGATTGATCGAAGGCTCATTCGATGAGGTCAATCCGAGAGTAGGAGCAAACAACAAGGCTTAACCTACGAAGCCCCATGATCCAAAACCTCCCACTGATCTTGATCAGTTCATAGAGAAACCAGCAATGCAGACTTCCAGCACCGAAACCGAAGAATGGATTGAAGTGGAAACCAAGTATATCAGATGATGTTCCGTAGAAACTACTTGGCATCTTTTGTGTTTTCTTCTTCTTTTCTTCTTTCAGTCGATATTTATGGTTGCAATTTGATTAACGTAGAGGCACGAACACTGATGTCGATGTCGCTGGATCATCTGATTCTCGAACTCCTTTAACCAGCATCTCAGCGTGGTAAGCGACAAGTTTCGACTTGCACTCCCTTGTTTGCAACAATCTCATGAGGTTCTTGTGATTATTCTTAAAGGACTAGATGGGTGTTGGGCTCAGTTGTAGGCATTGCTGTGCCCCTGTACAGGAGAATTTTAAGGAGAGAAGGTGCTCAAACCATACAATGAATCCAAGTAGTTAGATTCATAAGAGTACATCTTAGCCATGTTTCCTTCCTTCACTGTTTGTACTAGCATCGTTAATTCGGAGATTAGGGATTCTGTGTTCTAGATGCCGTAGAGAAGGCTGCTGAGAGTGCTGCAGAAGCTGCGGAGAAGATCGCTGAGGTGACGGAGAAGATAGCTTCCGATGTTGCCGATGAACTCCCTGACGGTGGACGTCTCAAGGACAAGGCCGTGCAGGTCGAACAGATCTGTGAAGAAGTTGAGAAGGCTGCAGAAGAAGCTGAAGCCTTCATTCATAAGGTACTATGCGATCATAATTCATTCTTTCCCAAATGAACATCACTCTTGTTTGTTTGTATCTGTTCAGATTTAATGAGGTCACTGCTATGGATTTTAGTGGACAATATGAATGTGATAGAAAAAATAGTAACAGGATAATGTTGAAGATTTATGCTAAGTTGTAGATCTGCATGATCATGTTCTTTACCATTGACTTCAGTCATATGGGTTTCGATTTTCTATCACTCAGGAAGATGATATATCATATTTTACATAGACTACAGAGTTAAAAGAGTGGAGTTCTTAATATTTTGATGAATGATGCTGATGGCATTTATGCCTTCTATTTCCCTGGCCAAAGCAGGTTGATCATGTAAAGGAAGAGGTGGACACAATGGTTGAGCCCATCATCGAGAAAGGAGAAGAGATAGAGAAAGAAATCCAAGAACAGGAGACCCCGATCAATTCAGGTGTGGATCAGCCAAAAGCCACATGAAGAGCTAGCTATCTGTTTGTAAAATCTTCATGAACATTGAATGTTCAGAAGTACTCCTTTGTGCAATCATCATAGTTCCCATGCTTTCTGTACATAATATTAAGTTTCTGTTCACAAACTCCTCATGCTGATAAATAAGCTATCTATTTTTCTCAAGTCTGTGGCAGGAATTTTGCCTCAATTCTAATAATAATGTGGAAGAATTCCCCCAGCCAAATGCCAGATCGCGTATGCTGCACCTGTGCCATATGATTCACCAATGGTTTGGGAATTTTCCAAGCCTGATATAGCCAGGCTGAATTAAGCTGATGATGAGTTGAATTAGTCTAAAATATATTGACTGGTGGTGTATAAAATTGATTGAGAGAATGAATATAAATGCAAATTTAAATACGTATAGTTAAGAATACAATAGAATATGTTTTCTATGCAAGCAAATTCCTAAAAAAGAAAACTCTAAAATTTTACTTTTTTTCCTATAGAGTACTATCTTTTAGATTTATTTTCACAAAATATTTTTATTTTTCAAAAGATGAAATTACCCTTGACTTGACGAGCTATTGCGAGGCCTTATCATCTCCGCTCTACCACGATGCTGGGCACTTTTGTCCTCGTTCGACTCTCATTCACAATGATACTTTTATTTCTTATAAAATTACACAACAGTACTATCTTGGTCACAAATGTTGTCGTCGATAATTGAAGATTATGCAATAGGATTAGAAAAAATGAGGGGGTAGCAAGGTTATCACATATATCGTACAGTGGATGCCCATGGATTTCATAGCGTAACGGGGACCTCCCTCCCTTCGTCCTATTATGATAACTTTTGTGCTTCTATTAAAAAAAATTGGGGAAGGAATGTCATTGTGGAGGTCATTATTGTAGAGGCTATCATAGCGAGGGCAAACAAGGGAGCACCACACGAGGGTAAAGGCAAATGAGGATAATCGTGGGGTAGTGAGGATAGAGGTGACAGGTGGTAGGGTAACGAGAGAAAGGTCAGGAGTAATATTATTTTTTTAAAAATACGGAATGCTATATTAGACAAAAAAAAAGCTTATTGTTTAGAGTCCCTTTCTATTATTGATAACACTCATATTATTGATAATTTTTTTATAAAATAATAAGTTTTTTACTATTTATAACCATAATATTATCGTTTTTATCTTTTTCTTTTCTCCATAACCTTATGCTCCTTATCGATCGATGTTGCGCTCATCATCGACGCTAATACTCCTCTACGTGCTCCTTGTCAACGTTGCGCTCAAAGGAAAAAAAAAATGAAGAGAGGTTATTTAAGTTCATTTACAAATATATAATTTAAAAATATTAAAAAAATATAAATAATAAAAAGAAGATTACAAAATAGTAATTCAAGGGGTACCCTATAAAAAAAAGAAGAAGAAAGTTTAAGAATTTTTTTAAAAGAATGTGCCTTTTCTATGTTATATATTTGTCATTTGTCATGAAAGATGTAAAAAAATTACCTTTTACAGAAAGAAAAGAAAAGGACGGAGTGGTTTGGCATTGGGGTTGACTCGGTCAGTCACTTGCTTCTTCGTCATAAATTACCCTACTCGCATCTCCTCTTGGTGACGTCGTAGCTTAAAGGCCAAGCCAAAAGTCTCCACCGTCATTTGGTCGAACATTTATTTGCGTCCGGTAGCCTCAGGAGACAACAAGCTTTTAGCTTTGAGCTTTGCGGTGTCCTCGCAGTCTTTGTTCGACGATGGTAGCCGGGATCGCAGTGGCCTCGCTCGTCGCCTCTCCATTCATCGGCGTAGTGGTTAACAAGCTGGGCGCTGAGCTCTTCGAGGAATGGGGGCTATGCAGAAGCGTCCAAGCCGACGCGAGGAGGCTGCAGAGCGTGCTGGAGACAATCCTGAACGTGCTCGACGACGCCGAGCAGCAACCCATCACCAACAAAGCCTTGCGAGGCTGGCTGACCAAGCTCAAGGACGCCGCCCTCGATGCCGATGATGTGGTGGACGACCTGCTGACCGAAGCGCTCCGGCGGAGGGCGCAAGACCGGAGTCGCATCTGTCGAACGGTACGCGATTTCCTTTCTTCTAAAAATCCGATGCTGCTTCGACACAAGATGGTTCACAGGATAAAGGATGCAAGGGCGAGGTTGGATGAAATCGCAGATGAGAGGAATAGATTCAACTTGAACGAGGGATCTGTGTCTCACGGGGCAAATGAAAGGGAAACTTGTTCTGCTGTTGTCGAATCTGAGGTATACGGAAGAGACAATGATAAAGAGAAGGTAATAAACTTTCTGCTTGAAGTCGACAATGAGAAGGACTTATCGATTCTTCCCATAGTCGGACTAGGGGGAATTGGAAAGACGACGCTTGCGCAGTTAGTGTACAATGATGAGAGGGTAATGGCACAATTTGATGGTAGATTTTGGGTTTATGTATCTGAAAATTTTAGTATCATCGAAATTATAAGGTCTATTGTCAGATCTCCAAGAAATTACAGTGATTTGCAAGCCTTAAAGCTTCAACTTCAAGCATTACTGAGTTGGAAGAGGTACTTACTTGTGCTAGATGATGTGTGGAATGAGAACGAAATGATTTGGGAAGATCTGAAGGTTTTGCTTAGATGTGGTAAGCAAGGAAGCAAAATAATTACCACAACACGAAGTGAAACAGTTGCCAGAATCATGGGGACAGTCACGCTGCACAAAATGCCAATGTTATCTTTTGAACATTGCTGGCTCTTGTTCGAGCAGAGGGCATTTAGGTTGGTTAGGGAAGAAGAGAAACCTAGATTCGTGGAAATAGGAAAGCAGATCGTTGAAAAGTGTGGGGGATTGCCTCTAGCAGCAAAGACTATTGGAAGTCTGATGGGAAGCAAGAAAAAGGAAGTCGACCAGTGGTTAGCTATCAGTGAAAGTGAATTGTGGAGATTGCCCGAAGATGAAAATGGAGTATTACCTGCTCTAATGTTGAGTTACAATCATTTACCATCTTATTTGAAATCATGCTTCGCTTATTGTTCAATATTTCCAAAAGACTATGAAATTGAGAGAAAGAATTTAATTCAATTATGGAATGCTGAATGATTCATTGAAAAAAATGATTGTTCGATGCTTGCTGAAGCAGTTGGTAACCAATACTTCAATGATTTGGTTTGGAGATCCCTTTTTGAGGTGACAGAGAAGGATGAGTACGACAACATAGTTAAGTGTAAGATGCATGATTTAGTGCATGATCTTGCATGTAGTGTTACAAAAGTTGAGTCTTCAGTCATTGAAGTGGGTAAGAAAAGTATTGTCCCCAACAGTAGTCACTACTCATTATTAGTCTATGATTATCGGAAGAAGCTACCAATGGCTTCTGAGCTTACATATCAAATGAAAAAATTAAGATCATTCATATTATTAAGAAAACAGTGGTTTGCTTATGTAGATGATAAGAACTGTATGGACTTTGTCTCATATATGATATCAACTCAACCTAATCTACGGGCACTAGGTCTTGGTGGGAGTAAAATTCAAGTATGGCCTGGTAGAATAAGCAAATTAAAACATCTGAGGTACCTTGACCTGTCAAGTACCAGAATTAAAATATTACCTAACCACATTGTTAGGCTTTACAACTTGCAGACATTGAACCTGCAAGATTGCTACCATCTTCAGAAGCTTCCTGCAAGCATGAGGCACATGATTAACCTCCGACATCTTGACATCTCAGGATGCAGCAGCTTGATTCACATGCCGCTTGGTATGGGACAATTGAGCAACCTGCAAACTCTGCCAATGTTCATTGTTGGCATGGAGGATGGGCGTAGGATCAATGAGCTTGACCAACTAAACTTGATAAGAGGCCGGCTCAAGATCAAGAATCTCAATAATGTGAATGATCCAATGGAAGCTCTGAAAGCAAACTTATTCACAAAGACGAGCTTGCAATCTTTGAAGTTGAGTTGGATGGTAAAATTTAATGGGAGAGCGGCATCCTTATCGGCAGATGATGTACTTGAGAAACTTAAGCCTTGTTCTAATCTAAGAGTGTTGACTATGAAAACTTTTCCAGGAATCAGCTTCCCAGGTTGGTTGACGAATCACACAGAACCATCGTCCTCCTTTTTTCCTTATCTGGTGAAAATCAAGTTGGAAGATTTTGAAAAATGTGAATGCCTTCCACCACTTGGATTATTGCCATCTCTTAAGGAACTAAGCTTGATTAAGCTTACTGGTGTGAAGAGAATTGGCATTGAGTTGTACGGAAATGGCGGCACATTCCCCTCCTTAGTTCAACTTGAGATATCTGATATGCCAGATATGGAGAAATGGTCTACAAGTCCAACAAATGAAACAACTGATGCGAGGATGCTATTTCCTTGTCTTAAAATGTTGACTGCAAGGGGCTGCCCAAAGTTGGAAGTAGAACCATGCTTTCCACCTTCAGTTGAGTCATTAGTTATTGAGGATTGCGAGAATCTATTATCAGCGAGGAGCCTACAGGGATTGTCCAAGCTACGGTCATTGGACTTTGGTGGTTACGTAGCATCGCCATCTGCATTTGATGGACTGCAAAACCTTACTGTTCTAGAGCTGTTAAGAATTGGGAGTTGTGATGGACTGACTTGTATGCCAGAGAGTTTGATGCAGCATCACATCCCATCTTTTCAATCACTTAAACTGATAAATAACAGTAACTTGAAATCTCTTGGTGAAGGAAGGGATCAGCAGCCTCCTTCTCTCTTCACCTCCCTCTGCCATCTGGAAATAGAGGCAAGCCATAGTTTGACTGCTTTGCCAGAGTGGATTCAGTACCTGCCGTTGCAGAATCTCAAAATCAGGGGATGTTCCCAGTTAGAGGGCCGTTGTCAGAGAGAGACAGGCGAGGATTGGCATAAGATTGCACATATTCCTTGCATTACCATCGAATCAACATGAATGCTACGCAGATAGTTCAGAGATCAGCCTGTTATCTACGATGACCACCACCACCAAGTTTAGAGTTGTTACTGGAAAGCTGCATCCTGTCCAGCTAGCTTTAGTATGCTTCTGTGAGTGCCTCATGCAAAAACCACCTTTGTTTCCCTTCTCTGATGTATAGTCTCCACTTCTGTTAGTTTCCATGATCCTATTTTTCAGTATCACATCAAGAAACAAATCCATTTCAAAATGCTACATAAATTTTGCTCTCACTCTCAGGTAGAAAATTTCTCTCTTCATTAATTTCAACAAAAAAAAAAACTCCTGAATCTTTTGCAAGGAAAAGCAAGTGCATCATTTATTTCTTTATAGAAAGCAACCAATGTAGATATCAGGTTCCTACAAATTAAGTTTTATCATGTTATCTTAAATTATTTAATGTCATCTGGTTCATAAAGCACGAGTGAATTGCAATATAATGTTTATTTTGGTTATTTTGTTTAGCTAAAGTGGCTCTATATGACAATTTAATACTGCAAGTTATTGGAAAGTAAAACTAGAAGGTCTGTTTGAAATTAGGTAAAGAAAGATCTAACCTGCTTGAAAGAATCGTATGACTGTTTGATCCATATCATCAGCAACATCTTCATGATTGCTTATGTGTTGTAAGTAGCTGTTTTGTCCACTATATATATTTTTTATCATAAGACAGCACAAACACTTCACTGCTGTGATTTGAAATCCCTTGTTTAACATTGGAACCACAACTAGACAAATCATTTCCTCATTGAGGACACTGCAGATGCTTTTGATTGACATAGCATTGAATTAACAATTAACATATCCAGCATCAACAGGATTTTGTTCCCTGTCTGTGGTGATCTAACAACTTAGTGGAGCTTTTGTCATAGTATGTGATTTTGTTTGTTGAAACAATGCTTCAATGCTAATAAGAATATGTTTTGGATCACCATGAAAATATGGAGCAAATAACGAGTGTCACCATTTGACTTTGCTTGCCTATCATGTCTCAGTTTCCCTCATAGCTAACAAAGCACAATGGAATTTCCCCCAAACTGCACCTACTGGCTGATCTAATTCAGTAAAATGTTAGGATGACTGGAAATTATAGGTTAAAGGCTGTGTTAGGATCTTATTCCATGTTTTATCATTTAAGTACCTTCATCCGACAGCTTCATAGGTACATAGATTGGCATACTTCATTCATCAGCCAGGTTACCATGTCTCAGGAGCCTTTGATTCTATCTTATTTTCTGTAAAGAATGATTTGAAATCATGTAGCTGCTTAATCATTGACATTCTTTTAACATTCATCTGGTTCTTTCTGTTTTTGCTATTAATAGCGTATGTCATCTTTGGAGTTCTTGTTCATGGTTCTTAAGGAATTTACTGCCTTTTCTGCTTAGAATTTTCAGTAACAGCTTTGGCCTAATTCATGAAACTTCTCCAAAATTAGCTGCCTTCTCTTTAAGGTCTAAAATTAATGTTGCTCATGGATTACAACAATTTTCTTGCCCTATGCTCATCATTACGAAATTTGTTAGATCTGTATATATTCATTTACACATTGTATTTGTGTCTTTGCAGAAAAAAGAGTGGATATAGCTCCCCTTTCTAGCCATGAACTATATTGAAGGAAACAAGAGGCTCATAGAATGAACAGCAAAAGGAATCTATTGCACCATGAAAAATCATATTTCTCGAGATATTGAAAAGAACCATGGTCAGAGTCATCTTGACAGAGTTCAGAAGTCATGAAAACAATTACAACCTCATAAAATTCTATCCTCCCTACTCTTTTTTGCCCTTTGCAGCAGGGATTATCACATAGCATATGTTGGTAAATGATTGCTCGGTTGTCGTCGTTGTTAGATGCAAGTCTTTATGGTCACATATACTCTCTTTGCAATGCATCTTGCTGCTTTGTTTTTTTTCCTTATACTGAGTTGATTGTCATTTGATTGTTCAAGCGACATTAATACCCTTTACAGGCCAGATATGATGATAAACAATTTTAAAAATCTTTTTAGATTTTATGTTCAGAATATTTTTTCTTAACTAATAATGAAAGCTTTGGATGAATATTAAAAGGAAGGGTGTATCTGAAAGATTGATGTACATTCTTTAATAAGAATTATACGGACAAATATACTATTTTCAAACCTTACAATATAAACCCTTTCACCAAAGATAATCCAAGCAAACGCATGAATAATGCATCACGAACCCATTGGCCGACGACTGTGGGCACCACTTTGTGGGACCCACCACGAGTCTTCGGTTTAAACAATCAGAACCGTTCATCTCAAAACCAAGGGTGCCAGTGGGAGTACCCTTGGAACGGCCAAGATCAGTCCATCCTCCTCGCGCTAAACATAATGGAGCCGTTGTCTCGACCTCGAACGCCATCGTTCATCCTCGGCTTTAGCCGCCGCGAGAGCTTTCGAAGCCTCACCGCGAAAGGGGAGAGCGAGAGAGTGGGAGTTGTTCAGGGCGTCCCCGCTTCCTACTTCCTCTTCGACAATAAGGGCTGTGATTTCACGCTAGGTTTGGATCCCTTCTCCATCCATCCTCTCTTAAACTTGCATCAGATGCTTGGCACCTCGATAGAATTTCAAGAAAATGTTGCAAAGATGCTTCTTTTCTTTTTGACTTCAGGTTTCTTGCCTTTTTTGGTCACTGTTGTGGCGTTCATGATGTTAATATCATGTTTCATTTGCTTCTGTTTGACTATGGGTTGTTGGGGTTATTTGTATTATTTTCTTGTCCCTCTCCATGGACGTGCGCAGAGATATCTTTATGCGATTTTCTGTTTGTGTTTTGTTTTATACGAAACTACAACCTTCTCCGCTGGATGCATCTTTACAACTAACTACGTGGGTTTCTGCTTGCAGAGTGAAGCGATTTGTGTGTTTTTTCTTGAAGATGGCGCTTAAATTTGAGGTAATGGGTCGATTTCGGTGTTACATTTTGTTCCATTATGGTCTTCTACCGCTATCCTCTTTTTAACATGGATAAGTGACTGGGGCGTAATATTACTCTATTGGTCTAGATGAATTTATCGAGCGAGTTCGAATCTCCTCTTAATAATCTTATTGATGATTATAGGTTATAAATACTTGTTATTTACATATTTTATTCTTTTATTGATGAAGATCCTTGAATACTGAACTAGACGTGATCAACTTCTGCTGCTTCATTGTCCATAGGTGTAGCAAAAAAATCCCCAGGAGCAGCAAAGTTCTGAAATAAATACATTTTCTTCTTCTGAAAGGACCCTTCTCAGGTTAACGATAAGAAATATGTGAATTGATGCAGACCCTATATTGTAGGACTGAGTACCTGTAAACGATTGAAACTAAAAAAAAAGTTTGATGAAAATAAAAAAAATATTATACAAGAGTAGGTATTGGTCGGCTTTTCCACCAGGGAAACTATGTTGTGAAGCACCATAAAATGTAGCCGATGCCGATAGTCCTGAAAAAGGAACAGAGAACTAGAATTTTATGTTAGTTATTGGAAAGGATATAAAGTTTTATGTGTCATAATATGCTTACAAGTGCTTAAACAGGTTTGATAAACACTAATCCATCATGGAAATAATGTTATGTCAAATCTAATGCTTAATAATAATTTTTTTTTATTATTCCTTGGTAAACATAGTAGACTTTAAAATTAACTTGTTTGTAAAATTGGAACAGGATCAAAATCAACCAAGGGTGATAACATTAGGACCTATCATATAATTTGAATTAAATCAGTGAGATAAAATCAACCAAATTTTTTATATATTCTTAAAATTAACTGAATTTTTTATAAATCAGTGAGATAAAATCAACTAATTTTTTATTAAAATAAAGGAAATTTTCATATATTCTTAAAATTTAAAATAGTTTTTTTTTTTTAATTTGATGTCGTTTTGGTAAAAGATAATTCTCAACAAATATTTAGAACCTAGAAACTAAAATTTAAAATATTAGGGATTTTTAAAAAAAATTAGTATAATTTTTTTTACAATTTTCTTAACTTTAGAACTAATTTTAAATTATTTTTTCACAAAACTTTGCTATTGGCTTATCCACATACCTAACTGCCTTGTTAATTGGGATGGCCTCAAGGTCAAATGTGAAACTCAAATTCTAAAATTTTTAGTTGTGCAATAATTAACTCATTGATTAAAAGGTAGTTCTAGGTGACCCTAAACTAGGGAAGGAATAGGTCAGGTTATGTTGTCCTTTCATCTGAGAATAATAGGTTGAATAGAACCAGATCTGACTTTTTTGGGTTGTTTGTTGACCATTTAACCAATCGATTATGGGTCAGGAGTAGCTTAACTAGGGCTGATGGGCAATTGTTAAGAGTAGCACTAAGCCAAATTTAAACAAAACTGAACTACAGGCATCCTGTTCTTTCATTTCTGCAACCCTTTGGTGGTCTTTATAGCTGACAGGTGAAGTTCTAACTGTCGTCTTGGTGGTAGTAGGTTTAACAGGATAAATCCACATTAATTATGTGCTGGAATGTTTTTTTCTTCTTAGTGACATTTTACTAGGAAGAAGTTATGTTTATAACTATTTGTGGACAGGAAAAGTTTGAAGTTGATAGAACTTGGTTTAACCAACCATCACTAGATAAATAGTATCAACACAGACTTCTTCAAAGCACTTATTACACATTCTCTTCTATCACCTTCCTATTGTTTTTTAGTGAATGAGTTTAGGGCTGCCTACAAGTTTTGCCTCGCTATCTGTATTTTTCCTTCACCAAATCTTCTATATTTCCAGGTGCTAGGAAAATTTAACCGAGCTCGTGCAGCACGATTAACACTCCCTCACTTTATTTGTCAAACACCACTTTTTATGCCTGTTGGAACTCAAGGTATGATTTTCACAATTCTGCGACATTGTATTTTAAATTGGAAATCCTTTTTTGGCAACACTATTTGTAATTTATGGTAGATGCTCTAAACATATACTCATTTTCCAGCTCTATATGAAGTAGCTCACTTTTTTTTTCTACTTCAGAGTGTTTTATTGTACAAATTGTTTAAGTTGTAATGACATTATGAAGAAATACCATCCAGGTTCAGTTATGATTTTTTTGATTTTATGACAGTGTTCTTGTAATGACATATACTCTTTTATGTGCTTTTTATGCAACTGCATTGTGATATCTTATTTCTGCTAAATTTGTAATAGATTCTGTTTATTGGGGTGCATGCTCCATAAGCTGGTGTGGTAACGGAGTGAATGAAGTTATCATATGGAACCTTGCTGCATATTTCTGGTGATGGACAAGTTTCTGTCTCATTTTATTCTTACCTTAGGAACACTCCTAATAATGAGGAATTTTGCAACCACTCCACAGTAGTAGAATCCTTTAACTTTCCTAGAAATGTGGAAACCTCCAGCTACTCTTTAACAGAAAATACTAGAAAAAAATACAAGTTAACAGATAAGAATGTAGTCACACATTCTGTCAGACAGTTAAAATGAAAAAAATATTTAATGCATGATTTACTCTTTTTTCTTTTAGGAAAGGGATGGGGTAATTATCATTTATGTGTATACTTAAGAATGACAATGTATAAAACTATAAATTATATACACTTATGTCAATTCATGTAGCATGGCTGTCTCGTATATCGTGGTTGACTGAATTTAAGAAAAGTCACACAGATTGTTTTAAATTTATGACTTAAATGTGCGATGAATGCAAAAATATATCACGCTTGATACCCAAATAGCTTTTAAAAATAAAATTGACTCTTAACTCTGCAAGTTTATTCACTTAAAATTAATGTGGCTTGATCTTGTGCTACTAAAGCATAACAGTCAGCATTCCTACTGTAGTATAACATCACAGGGTGGTGTCTTGTTAATGACCTGAAATTGTATTCCATTGGGTGTATGTTGACTTTATGACAAGCCCTGAGCACTGCATAGGGTGCATCATTAGATTGAGCCTCATGCCACTGTTATGGTGGTGTGGTATGTGCAATTCTTTGTGATTCCTATCATACATCTAACTCTTTTATTGTTTGTTTGGCAGGTACAATAAAGGGTTTGACTAATAACCAGCTGGAGGAAATTGGCTGCCAAATCATACTTGGAAATACCTATCACCTTGCTCTTCGTCCTGGTGCTGAGTTGATCGATGACTTGGGCGGTCTTCACAAATTCATGAACTGGAAAAGAGCACTTCTTACTGACTCGGGTGGTTTTCAAATGGTTGTCAATCTCCTCGAACAATATTCACATATTAAAATGCCCTATTTCGTTCTTTGGATCAGTTATTGCATCACTTTTTATTTCATTTATTTATGTTTTTTTGTATAATGTTACACTTATATGTTTCCTCTGTAGGGAAATCTAGGGGTGATATCATATGCGTAACGGAAAAACATAAAATAAAAACATAAATTTCTTAAAAAGGTGTTCATCGTTATGTGAAGATTGGTGAAACCCGCGAAACTTAAATCTACGTGTGAGATAGATGTGTTTTACCTAGGGAGATCGTATATCCCTGAATCCCTATAGATCTGTAGGAGAGGATGAATGGGGTCAAGCGTCCTCCTCTCTAACGGTGATCCACACAGCAGGGCTGCAACGACTTTCCTCAAATCGCTGCTCAAATCTTCATATCTACTATCTGAGAAGAAGGGAAGAGGTGAATAGGAGGTGACAACCAAGAAGCCTCTAGCCTATGGGTCTTTGGTTCCCTCCTATTTATAGAGGTCTAATGCCTACTTAACCATAATGGATCCTGCCCTATTGGGTATTGGATCTTCATCCGACTACCAAAGCCTCTTAGATTAGTGGATATCTATCCAATAATATTTCATTGGCTTTTATTGGACCTCATCCATAGGATCCAATAATTCATGGGTTTATTGGATATCTAATAAGATAGGAGCTCCGGCGGATATCTCATATATGAACCTCTACTCGTCGCAATGCCTACCATATGTGTGTGACTCTCTAGGCCTAATATCGAGCTGGCTGTGAGTCATTCTTGTCAGAACTCCTTCTAGCTCAGTAAATTATTATCTTCATAATAATTCATTCGACTCATCGACTGCGGACGTATTAAGCCACTACGCTGTAGCCCTCAGATGATACAGGAGAATCCAATCCTTTGGACCTGTTTGTTCTCAGTTACCGTGTATCTATAGTCCCTCATCCATCTAATATCCCAGAGACCGTATATCGGGCATGGTGCTGTCAGACTCATACAGTTTCTATTCGAGTTTCGCTCTAATCGGATTTTTCCGGATAACTCTTTCTCTTTCAATCCGAATGACCCTGACCAGGGATTTGTTTGAGCAAGAACACATGAGATGTTTTTCTCATGACACCAAGAGCGGATGATTCTCTATCGATACTCAATAGCCCTCGTAAGGTTGATTGTCACTCCCGATGACCGATCGTGCTAGATCTGAAACTTCCAAACCTATAAGTCTGATATCAAAGAGTGGAGTCCTCATACAAGACATCCTTGGTGTCTTAAGTCTAAGGACCAGGTACACCACTAGGACAACAAAATCACTGTCTAACAATGAGGTATCATTAACCATCTAGCATTCCATGAGCGGATCAATCAGTGAACTCATTTTCCAATGAGCACCTGCACTGTAGCCCTAGTGTCCCCACACGAGCAGCTATGAGACCAACTGTCTCCATCATATGGACGGGTATACAACACACCAATCTATCTGGTTATCTCAATGCCCCTTTTGAGTAGTCTGTGTTTAAAGGTGAATCGGTCTCATTGTCGTTATTTCATTATGATCCGATTCTTATTGCACAGATCTATGGACATCACAATATATGTATGCGTATATGCAACAAGCAATATAGAGTGATAAAATGCTAAATAATATAATAAACAAAAAGAATGTGTATCATGTCACATGATAAGGGTAAAAATGACGATGTAACACGCCATGACGTCAGCCATGCCTGGACAACACACTGCCCGAGGAAGTCGGCATTAACACCTAACTCAGGCTTAGTTCTTCACGCCACGCCAACCCCATGTCAGACGCTATCAGCTGCCTCCTGCAAGCAGCCACATCAGGTAACATCAAACTCATCTATAAATACTCCAGAGTTCTAAACGAGTAGGGAGAGGACAAGCACAACGCACTTGGAGGCATCTCTTCCTCTAAAACCCTCTCCACATCGCTAACTTGATCGTCGGAGGGGTCGGGCCGAGCTCCCGGCCTGACCTGTGTGCAGGTCCGAGACGGTGTCACCTCTTCCCGGCGCTGCGGCGGAGCTTTCTCTCGACCCGACCTGCCGACCCGACCTCCTGACCCGAACCACCGTGCTTGGCCTTCGGGAGACCCCGAGGGACGGAGCCCGAGATCCCCGACATCCGGACCCCCGAACCGAGCCGCGACGGCCCCGAGGCCACGGCTTAAACAGATGCCCCCCGCATC